GATTTTAAACTCAGTGTTTTCCCTTTATTTCAAAGTAAAGAGTTACAAATCAGTTGTAACAAGCTTTGGATTGAGGTTACAGACAAATCTCTGTGGATCTTACAACAATTAAATTTTGATTTTTTAAAATTTCAAACGGCATATTTATCAATTGAAACTGTCATTTTGGCCAGTAGCCAGTTCCTAGGGAAAACACTTTAAAGTGAGCTTATAGAAGGAAGGTTTGTTACTCTGATAATCTTAGAAAAACTGAACATGAATTTCCTTATTATTAATAAAGAAAACTGTGGTATTGGTTTCATATGAAATATGAAACAGTTAAATGCAGTGATTTGATGATACATGTATAAACAGTCAATCCTCCTTAATTTGGATGCTTTTGTGCCAGAGTAAATTGTATACAGTCAATCCCCCTTAATATGGATGCTTTTGTGCCAGAGTAAATTGTATACAGTCAATCCTCCTTAATTTGGATGCTTTTGTGCCAGAGTAAATTGTATACAGTCAATCCTCCTTAATATGGATGCTTTTGTGCCAGAGTAAATTGTATACAGTCAATCCTCCTTAATTTGGATGCTTTTGTGCCAGAGTAAATTGTATACAGTCAATCCCCCTTAATATGGATGCTTTTGTGCCAGAGTAAATTGTATACAGTCGATCCTCCTTAATTTGGATGCTTTTGTGCCAGAGTAAATTGTATACAGTCAATCCTCCTTAATATGGATGCTTTTGTGCCAGAGTAAATTGTATACAGTCAATCCCCCTTAATATGGATGCTTTTGTGCCAGAGTAAATTGTATACAGTCAATCCTCCTTAATATGGATGCCAGAGAAAATTGTCTGGATAAATGAACTGTCTGGATTACGGAACAAGGTTCTCATTAATGCAAGAATCTGCGTCTTAGACGCAGCAAAATTATTTGGGACGCAAGGTTCTTAAAAACGATGCGTCCCCGGACTCATGAGTGGATGCGTCCTCATTAGCGAGAAAATTTGGGTGCTTACGAAAACTGGAGATTTTAGATGTTAGGCTTTGTCAAAGAAATATTTAATCGAAACCTTCCTGTAAATATCATAAAGTTTATCCAAAAAAAAACTTTTCTTGTACCTATTTATAATTTTTTAAACAGGGATATGATTTAACCGTTGGAAACTGACCTTCTATAATCGGTAGATGTGAATGTAAATATTTCATTGGAAGATGATGTGTCCGTATCATTGGTATCTTGATTGATAAGACTTGACTGTATGCAAGATTCTTATACATAACAGAAATTCTAAATGAGAAATTGTATAAATATTTTTGTTATGGCTCCAGGGCTGTAAAACTTAGATGAGCTCACTTTTGATCTCAGTCTCACTTTTACATAAGAATAGTGGAAAAGGAACCTGATCTAACATTGTATAACTGTTATGTTACTGTTTTGATCTGACATGGTTTAAATGTTATTGTTCTGATCTGACATTGCATTAATGTTTTTTGTTCTGATTTGACATGGTTTAAATGTTTTTTGTTTTGATCTGACATGGTTTATGTGTTTTTGTTCTGATCTAACAGGTGACTATGAAAGAGAACTAGAACTTCCTGTAACACCTATGTGTAACCGAGTAACCACGACAACAGCTAGGATACAAGCTGGTAAGATGGCCATTAAACTCACAGATCTAATCTTCTTTTTTGTGCAAAAGTTTGACAATGCTAAAAAATAAATTACATATTAGATAAATTAAACAACTTGATTTTGTCCTTTATTGGATTAACATTAAAAAATTTACCTCTAGAGGGTAAGGGAAGAGCAAGTAAAAATATAACTATGGCCAAAAATAGTATGCTCTATTCCTATTCCTTGTGAAAGGAAACTGTTAAATAATTATCTGTATATAATAAATTTTTGTTAACTCTTTGTTCAGGGATTTTGACTTTTTTTCTCTATGTTCAAAGATTTTGACCTTTTTTTTCTCCTTGGTCAAGAATTTTGACTTCTTTTTTCTTTGTTTAAGGATTTATGGAATACGTGGTGAATCCTTTGTTTTATGCCTGGAGACAGTTTCTCCCCTCTAAGCTCAGTGATGTGATGCTTGACAATGTCGCTCAGAATCTGAAAAATTGGCGGGAAGTGATTGAAGAAGAGGGAGAGATCAATAAACCCACGGAATCAGATGAGGAGGTGTTAAACCAAGAAAAAAGTGACACTGTGGAGGAAGGGAGACTTCCTCTTAACTATATACACATCACAGACGATGACAGCAACTCCTTGTGTACGGACAGTCGTCGTGGGAGTTGTAGGAGTCTGTCTCCTGTTCGTGAAATCTTAGAAAACGGCTGGGATCCGGAGCAGAGAAGGCATAGCATGCCTCCTGCTTATGTCAAAAGGGAGATAACGTGTGTGACTATTCGTAGAGAGAGTGTTCCCATGTCCCAATTTCTAAGGAGGCGGAGTTTACCCACAGCCATGCTTGTGCAAACATCCTCTCTTGAGAAATTATCTGGCAAGTTATCTGCACTTGCCCAACGTCACAATATGGCAAACAAAAGCATATCTATGGAGGAGTTGATGTCTCGACCTAAAATCTCTAATCTCACTACCAGTTATGAGACAAGTTTACTGGCCAGTGGACTCTCTGTTGTCACGGACCCCTTGTACTCAAAATCAGACCCACTGTACTCAAATTCTCATAGCAGCATTGTGCGCTTTCTCAGTGTACCTCAGAACTGCCCTGACCCACCTCATGACCCTAGTCACCCTAAAGACTCAAACACATTCCCATGGCCAAGCAATAAGTGTGCTCAAAACTGTGATCAGCAAAGCAAACATATAAATGACTCAGACTGCATAGGAAAAGTAAATTGTATTAATGACCCAGACTGTATAGGAAGTCTCAACTTAGCTGGAAATTCCTCTGTCTTACCTAAAACCCACTAGTCTTTCATTTAGTATAAACTGTATTTGTAAGAAAATTTTAAAGGGGTAATTATTTACATTTTAACAAGTACTATGAAATTTATATATATTTATATCTACATTAAATAAATTGTTGTCATAGTTTTAAATGTACGAGTTTGTGTTGATTATCATCTCTCAAAAGATTACGTCATTCAGAGTATGTTTTACTGAATTTCTGTCAAGTTATTCAAGTGAGGCTTTGTTATCATTTTGTCTGTCTTTGTTTATCATCTGTCAATTTTCACATTTTTATCAGCTCACCTAGCTCAGAAGGCCAAGTAAGCTTATGGCATCATTTTGCGTCCTTTGGCATTGTAAACTTTTTGAAAAATCCTCTACTCTTCAGTTACTTTTTCTGAAACCTTATACATATAGTTTACTTTATAGTTATTGTCCTTTTCAAATGATACACTTTTAATTTTGATCCACAACTACAAATAGAACATTTGGGCAAGATTCAGTTTTTTGCTTATAACTCTGACTTAAAGGGGCATAACCTTGCAGGTGGAAAATAAATCAGGATAGCAAGATCTAGCTACCTAGCAAGTTTCCAGTGTTTGAAATAACTGTGCGCCCGACTGCCCAAGACACACAAATTGTGCAGCGGGCAAACAAAATTGCATGTATTGACACCCGGCTGGATGTGTTAAAATTTTCCATAATTAAAATTCATATATTTGATAAATCTCTCATATCAACTAATAGTATCGGTAGCAAAGTGTAACAAGCCAAGAGGAAGAATTCATCACTCTGTAGATTCTGGTTTGAAGTTTTGGTGACCAGGTTCCAGTCACATAATCGTTAAAAACACAAAAAAAGACAATTATTTTCTTGGGGAGATCTTTGGCAGGGCTGACAACTTTTACTAGCAGTCAGCCCTGCATGTCTGGCTAATTTTGCAGTGAGATTCAAACACTGCAAGTTTCATTAAATTCTGTGCACCCTTGTTAGAGTCATGGCCCCAAAATGTTAAATTCTTTTAATTTTGCATTTTCAGCATAAATCTCATCTGAAACTATTTGTTAATTTTTTTTGAGACTTTCATACAAGTGTTAATGTATGGTGTATCCTCTACAAAAGTTCTACTTTCATTTTGATCACTGAGTTTACCGGTACTGAGTCTCCATTGTACACCCTTTTTCCATTACAGTGGATTAGATATGTAATCAGTTTTCATTCATGGCTCAGATGCCAGGGTGAAATTTATCCTTACCACAGTAAGAATAAGTTCAGGAAACATGAAATGTAAAGAAAATACTTAAAAAGGAAAATTTGACAAATCAACAATAAAGTGAGCTGTCTGAAAAACAAAATTATATATCAATATATATTATATATGGAGTACAAGATGTTGACCTTCCCTTTATTTTGGAGACTTTGTAATGATACTCTGGTTACTACATGTATATTCAGTAAAATTACAGAATACATGTAATACTACTTCAAGAAAATGGCCTCTGTTTTCTCCATTCTTCTTATACAGATATTGAGTTAAAAATTTAACAATATAGCAAGAGGCTTTGGGTAAATTTAGAAAGGGTAAACTTTACAAATAAAAATGTCCAATTAGTATTTCTTCAAATCCTGATTCCCTAGGGACAAGGTGGAGTCAAAATGGGGACCCAAAGTTCCATGAGAAAAGAGTGGAAATTGCCAAATCTTAAAGAAAAAGACAGTTCTAGTTAATGTTATTCGATTCATATGAAACATACATGTATAGAATTTGCCTGTCCATTATAACAAGATTATTAAATGGTTCCATTAGACCCCACAGTAACCCATTATGTACTGTATATCAATTCAAATCAGAGCCCATGAAATAAAGATGGTGTTTACAGGGAAACTCATCAAACACTTCTCAAGAAGATATGGTGCATAATGTTGAGAACACATAGACAAAGTTTAAGATATGAAAGCAGTGTCATTCCTGTGAGCAGTAAGGCTCATGACACACCAAGATTTTAATTAATTTACCCATATGTTTTAATTATGGCTGTATTTCAGCATTTTCCGTAAGTATTGCTCATTGTTTAATAAATAGCTACATCATGAGAATGTGGTTAAAATTTAATGTTTACTTTGTGTTTTGATAACATTACAATGATTATGTACAGGTGATAGCTACTTAAATGATCAATAAAAATCAATAAATTTTCAAAATAACTAACAAACAACAAAAGTATTTTAACGTCAACTACAAAATCAAACCAACATAGTGTTCACTACAGTTTGATGTTGCCTATAATACTGGTAGAACATTAGTGTACAGCTTTGTAGTACATTTGAATACTTGAGATCTTCTCTCCCTACTGGTCCTGATTGTTAAGGTCAGTCTTGTCTTCATTACCCTCTTTCACATAATCAGTGTATTTGTTATTTTTGCCATAGACCTTTTGGACAGGATACTTGAGTCCATTTTGGTGTATTTTCTGTAGCACAGCTGATGGTAAATCAATCCGACATCTGTCTGCTAATCTGACTAGGTAAATTAAGATGTCACTCATCTCCTGTCCGACATGGTCCTTCTCTTTATCACTGAGCTCTGTAAATGGTGTGTAAAGATTTAGCATATCAAACAAAGGTTTATATTGTGAATTAAATCTTAATCTACTTCTAAGTTTTGAGAACTACAGTATTTATATGTTATCAAATACATTGAACTTACCTGGAATTCCCATGCTAACTTGTGTTATCTGATACATTGAACTCACCTGGAATTCCCACACTGACTTGTGTTATCTGATACACTGAACTCACCAGGAAGTCCCACGCTAACTTGTGTTATCTGATACATTGAACTCATCTGGAAGTCCCACACTAACTTGTGTTATCTGATACATTGAATTTACCTGGAATTCCCACACTAACTTGTGTTATCTGATACATTGAATTTACCTGGAAGTCCCACGCTAACTTGTGTTATCTGATACACTGAATTTACCTGGAAGTCCCACACTAGCTTGTGTTATCTGATACATTGAACTCACCTGGAATTCCCACACTGACTTGTGTTATCTGATACATTGAATTCATCTGGAAGTCCCACACTAACTTGTGTTATCTGATACATTGAATTTACCTGGAATTCCCACACTAACTTGTGTTATCTGATACATTGAATTTACCTGGAATTCCCACACTAGCTTGTGTTATCTGATACATTGAATTTACCTGGAAGTCCCACATTTACTTGTGTTATCTGATACGATTTCTGATCTGATCAATATCTATGTAGTTTTTGGAGATCAGGTCTTCCAACAATCTGTTGGAATTCCCATGGACACCAATTGCGCCCCCTTATTATTGTATTCATATGAAGCAGAATTTATTCAAAAACTTCTACATGAGAAGAAGAAAACTCTTGCTGTGGCCTTCAACACGACATTTCAATATATCGACGATGTATTATCAGTTAACAATAGTAACTTTCATTCATATGTCGACTCGATATATCCCAGTGAGCTTGAAATAAAAGATACCACAGATTCTGACACATCTGTTTCATATTTAAATATTCTACTAGAAAAAGACATTAATGGTAACCTAACAACAAAGCTTTATGATAAACATGATGACTTCAACTTTTCAATCGTAACATTCCCTTACTTATGTAGCAATATACCCATATCACCTGCATATGGGGTTTATGTCTCTCAGTTGATTCGATGCACAAGAGCATGCTCTACATATGAACAATTTCTAAAACGAGACAAGCTATTGACAAACAAGTTGACAAAACAAGGATATCAACAGTCTCGTTTGAAGTCATCTTTTCGCAAGTTTTTCAGTCGAAACAATGACCTTGTCAGCACATACAACCTGTCATTGAGTCAAATGCTGACATTTTTCATACAGATTGTTAGGCCATTATTTATACACTGAACTGTCTACGGATATTTCCAGTTTTTGTTTCCTGATCATGACAAGGAGCACACGGCAGGAGTGATCGGTCAGCAGGGGATGCTCACTCCTCCATGGCACCTGATCCCGCCTCTAAATTTTGAGGTCCGTGTTTGCTCTGCTCCAAATTCGTATCATTTCATTGGACTTTCGAGATTGAATACTATTCGTTATCTTCATATTTCATACACTGAACTCCCCTGGAATTCCCACACTAACTTGTGTCATCTGATACAGTGAACTCACCTGAAAGTCCCACACTGACTTGTGTTATCTGATACATTGAACTCACCTGGAATTGCCCACACTAACTTGTGTTATCTGATACATTGAACTCCCCTGGAATTTCCACACTAACTTGTGTCATCTGATACATTGAACTCACCTGGAATTCCCACACTAACTTGTGTTATCTGATACACTGAACTCCCCTGGAATTCCCACACTGACTTGTGTTATCTGATACATTGAACTCACCTGGAAGTCCCACACTGACTTGTGTTATCTGATACATTGAACTCACCTGGAAGTCCCACACTAACTTGTGTTATCTGATACATTGAACTCACCAGAAAGTCCCACACTAACTGGTGTTATCTGATACATTGAACTCACCTGGAATTCCCACACTGACTTGTGTTATCTGATACATTAAATTTACCTGGAAGTCCCATGCTAACTTGTGTTATCTGATACATTGAACTCACCTGGAAGTCCCACACTGACTTGTGTTATCTGATACACTGAACTTACCTGGAAGTCCCACACTAACTTGTGTTATCTGATACATTGAACTCAACTGGAAGTCCCATACTAACTTGTGTAATTTGAGACCTTGATTTCACCTTGAATTCCCACGCTAACTTGTGTTATCTGATACATTGAACTCAAATGGAATTCCCACACTGACTTGTGTTATCTGATACATTGAACTCACCTGGAATTGCCCACAAAAACTTGTGTTATCTGATACATTGAAGTCACCAGGAAATCCCACACTAACTTGTGTTATCTGATACACTGAACTCATCTGGAAGTCTCACATTAACTTGTGTTATCTGATATATTGAACTAACCTGGAAGCCTAACACTAACTTGTGTTATCTGATATACTGAACTCACCTGGAATTCCCACGCTAACTTCACCCTTCCACTGACTGAAATATTTCAAAATTTATCATCGACATCACTGTCTTCAAAATTACTGAACATTTAGATGAAGTACAAAAGTCAAAATGGTAAAAGTGAAAAGCATATTAACATCTATGGATCAATGTTCATATGTCTACGAAGTCCACAGAAAATGATAATTTTGAATATTAATTATGAAATATTACATTAACTTCTGGGGTAAAAATGCAATATTAAAACAATGTTGTAAAGTATACTTTGAGTCATATATTCATCCAAAGGTTCAAAATAAAAATACTTAATTACAGCCCAACTTCTTTTTCTCAAACTTGATGAGGCAACATGTTGAAGGATTTGATATATTCAATTATTCCAGATATTGAGGTTAAAATACATAATGAACTTGAAAACTGGCAGTCAGAGAGGGCCCAACTAAGGGCTGTACAAGGAAAGTGACAAAATATTCATGTGCCGTCTCTTATTGTAAAGTATTTATGTACAAAATTTGAAAACATTACAGTGAGAAATGTCTTAGTGAGAGCATCACAATTAAAGTGTTACAGGAAAGCAGAAAATGTATGGCTGGACCGGGAATCCAACCCGTGACCCCTGCATCTGTAAGTCAGGTGCTCTACCGACTGAGCTACCCAGGCCGATATCCATGGTCCAGACCATTACATTCCTCCCTCCTTAAATTGTCTTCTCCCTTGAAGACACAACCCAAGTTCTTATTAGCCCTGGCAGGACTTTCACCTGCAAGTCAAGAGGTGGTCAACGGCTCCAAATCTGTAACAAGGAAGGAGAAAATGTATGGCTGGACTGGGAATCAGACCCCAGACCCCTGCATCACTAGTCAGGTGCTCTACCAACTGAGCTACCCAGGCTGATATCCAAGACCCAAACCATTATAAAAGTATTGACAGACATATGGTCATATCTTTCTGCATAATGGTTGAAATAATTAAAATGTAAACTGTTTGAGTTATTCTGTCATGATGGATATACATTCTGACATACTGACAAGGTGATATGACTCAAATATATATAGGTGTCTTGTTCCTACAATAAAGTACTACAGTACAACATTTGAAAGTGTTACGCTGAAAACTGTGTGAGTTTTCATGTCACAATAAAAGCATCATGGAATGGATATACATTAAGACAGAGACAGACAAAGTGATATGACCTCAAAATCTATAGGTGTCTTCCTCTTATAGTAAAGTACTTCTGTACAAAACCTGCAAGTAATACCTTGAAAACTATTTGAGTTACCACATCACAACAAAAGTATTGACAGACAGACTGATAGACATTGTAATTCCTATAGGGCTCCCACATTTTCATGCTGGACCCTAACAAAATGTGTTTGTGAAACACTGATGCCCCCATATGGCAGATCATGGCCAAGATTAAAGTTTTTTATAATTAGATCAAACTCCAAGGTCATGGGGTAAAAAAATGTTGGTACCCACAGAAAGGTCTTGTCACAAGGAATATACAAGTGAAATATGTGTAAGCAGAGAGGAGAAAAAATGCAATAGACCACACCAGGATTTGAACCCTAGCCCCCTAAATCACTAGTCAGGTACTCTGCCAACTGAGCTGTCTGGCCATGTGTGATCTATCCTGTCTAACCGCCACTATCCTCCTTCCTCATAGGTCTTCGCCCCCAAAGACACCAACCCAGTCTCCTCCCTGGCAGATCTTTTACCCGTCACATCCAGGGCATGGACACAGCACCAAATCTAACCAAAAGGGAGAAAAATGCCGCAGAGCAGGATTTGAACCAATTCCTTGAATCACTAATTAGGGGCTCTAGATATTGAGTTACTCAGGCCGATATCCACAGCCAAAACCATTGCATATAAAAACCCTAGCACCAACTATTCAGAAGTTACAGCCAAGGGTAAACTTTTGCAGACAGAGAGCCAAAAACTACATCTCCCCAAAACTCTGTTTGCAGGGGCATAAAATGTGGTTGGGACTTCCAACTCACTTTCATATATTCATGATATACAAGATGTCAAATTTCAAAATACCAAACTTTGATCAACTATATAAACCATTTTTATTAATCTGTGAGAATTAACATATACTTAGATACCTACTTCACCATCACTTACAATATTTCTGCCAACTCCCCTACCTCCCCAACTAACGCAAGGAGCACATTTCTAGGTTTGTGGAACTGGTCCCAATTTCTCTCCTTACAAAACTTTGCCTGTAATTGACGACTAAAAAAAAATAAGCCATTTTTTAAAACAAATATATGTGACAGCCCTTCATATCTGTTCTCCTGCAGAAATGTAAAGACATATTTCATTTTCTTTATATCCACGATACATTCATCATTCTTTATACAGCTGTTTATATCTAAAGTGTTAAAAATATTAGGTGGATTTTATTTTACATCTTTTCCAGAGCGAGTTCGTTGCTAAACTTAAAATCAACGTCTCCACTATCGATACAGTCTTCAGTGTCTTCAACATCACCAGATTCTAGATCCAACTTTGGCTTCTTTGTATCCTTATGTTCATTCATTTTTACCTAATAAAATTAGCTCGACGAAGGCAAAGTTGAAAGTGAAAGTAGCAACACGTGTTTGCATTATAGCACCGATCCCGATGCAAATTGCACACATTGGAGAGATATACCTCCTATTGGAGTGGGAGCAAATTTTTCCGAGTCAGATTATTTATTTTCCTGCCAGTGAAGGAAAGATTATTCATTTCCAAGATGATCGGGGACAGGTTATCCTCACAAAAAATTCTTATTTCGTACCGGAATGGGGGTGGGGGGGTGGGGGGGGGGGGGAAGGGTTAGCAGGACCAGGCAAATTATTTATTTCCTTACCAATCGAGGAGAGATTATTTATTTTTAACATTTTCGAGGACAGATTTACTTCCAAAATCTGCCAGCCCCCCCCCCCCCCCCTTCAGAATCAAATGGTCGTCCCCTGCCACATATGATACCCGCTTTATGTTATTGTTGGAAATATCTTTCATTTTTTCTCAGTGTACAGTGAGTTATAAAATTTAATTGTCATTTTTATTTTTGAACAAGTCGTAATTTTTAAAAAATAGAAGCGATGTACTTGTTGCTTGGACATAACTTAGATTAGAGAAAATAGGAGTACGGACACAAATATGTTTTATGTCAGAAATTCTTTCACAGAATACATGGCGTTGCAATAACAAGGTAATTTGAACCTAGGTCCCCTGAAGTCTAGACACTTAAATCATTGAATCCGCCCTTATACAAAGCTGCGCGACTGCCCAGTACTGATCACATTAAAGAGAAGGGAGGCTAAGAAAGGGGTTTAAAGAGAATTGAGGATTTCTACCAGGGCCTGACAGAAAATAAAATTTGATGCGCTGGTGAGATTCTATTATAAACTGCAAACCAGACTTGACATCTTTAGCTAGTCAAAAGACAGTTCTATGATCATTTCAGAACAGACACTTTGTCATATTACATAACTTACTGAGGGGTAATTGCATATTTAAATGGAAAATATTTACATTTACACAACTTGACATGAGTATTTCAGACATAATCATGTCTCCTTGACTTTGACATCCCATGTACAAATCTGGATCATAAAAGCATATTACCGTCTATTTTTCTGACCCTGTCAGAGGATGACCCATCAAATTAAAGCTTTCAAAACGCAGCTGTTTAATGCCTAAGCAGGCAACAGATTGGAATATATTTCACAACGTGCAGCTCACAGCGTTCTATATATAAAAATATTGACTGAAGAAAAGTTACTTTGACTCTACATTTTATGTAAAAGAACAACAGACAAAATAGTTCCTTTGGCCTATGACTGAAGCACAAAAAAAAAAAATACACCTGATTTTTTTAAGGAAGTTTTTTTAATATATAAATATAACATAAAAGTGTATAAAGGCTTGGTCCCATGTTAATGAGAGTTAACTAGCTATCCCCACTGCGTCTCGATTGGTCCCTCACTAGATATGTGGAGAATGGAATGTTGCGCAGATTGTTCCTGATTCTATTGTTCTTCTTTCTTTCCGTGTTTGAGAATTCTCGTAAATTCTACATAATCAAACATTCCGTTCTTCAAAGGTGCTTCCCGGAACATTTCATCAACCTATAAGACGAAGGCGCGAGAATGTATTGTCATAATTAAAAATACATTATGTAGATGGTACTGACTAGATGTTTACAAGCAGATGTAGTATTGCTATTAAAGACAGCATCTAACATTTCATTTATAAACCAAGTGCTTGCAATAAACACAATATTTAATGTTTAAAACTTCCAGTATACAGCGTAGGTTTTCATTTTCTCCCTTCTATCATTATTTAATATCTAAATTATTTTCCCTCCATCATGACATTTCTTTTATTTTTTCTCCTTTATATGCAGCTTTTACATCTATTTCACTATCAAAGCAGTAAAATTCTAGCTTTATAGAGTATTCAACAATTGTGTGCCATTATACCTCATCCTCAGTGAAACGATCACCCATGGTCATTAGTAACTCACGAAGTCTGTCTTCATTAATGTAACCTTCAAAAGACAAAAGTAATCACTGACATAACTATACTATACATATATACTCTCAAAAAGTCTTATATCAGTTCAATGTTAATGTTTAAAGGATTGTGGATTGCTCTATATAGATATTTAGTAACTGGTTGATTGTCAGGTTATTCACCTGAATAACTAGTTAATCATTAAAAAACAAAAAGAACAAAATGAGATACACATGTAATCATCATACACTCTCTGCAGTAATACATTAAAGCATACATATATACAAACAAGTGAATACTGAGAAGTAAATTAATGGATGCTAGTACAGAGTTGTGTATTATAGTTTCTCAGATCTGGCACTATTTACTGTGAAATCACTAATTTTTGTTTAATTTTTGATGTAGAGACCCATGAATTCCTATTACTGTATCCCTCATGATATGTTATAATATCATAATACAGTAACCAAAAATTCAATTCCCTTCGAACCAGTAATTTTTTCTTAAACCATGAAAATTTGACCCCTCGAAAATAAGTTTTACAGTATATCTTATAATGGTTTTTCAAAAATATTGAAAAAAAGACATTCAAAACTTATGTGTATTTAGAATGCTGAAAATGTAACATTTCCCTTGCCACAAACATATCTGCTTTACGCCTTTACCAGAAAGTGAATCAAACATAATATTTCCCAAGATTTGGAACTAATTTTAATCTTATTAAAAATGTCGATTAAAACATACCATTTGTCACTTCATTAGAATGATAAAAATAAGTGCTCCAGGGGCATATAGAGTTACTCCTTTTTTTTTAATCATTATTATGGATATGTATAATGTTCAACTTTAAAAAGGGAAGAATATCACAAGTACAGTTTCATGCAATGTCATGAGCAGAATTCTTAAAGCCCCTAATTTTTTGCTGTGTTAAAGCTCACCTGATGCATCTTCATCAAAGCAGGCAAAAGCATTCTTAATAACATCTTCCGGGTCCGTGCCGTTTAATTTCTCCCCAAACATTGTAAGAAACATTGTGAAGTTGATGGGGCCTGGGGCACAGCTCATCATTTCCTCTAAGTACTGGTCTGTGGGATTCTTTCCTAAAATGTATAGACACTTTATTATAGTCTTGGTTATTTTAACAAAGTAGCCACATCTTCATAGTACTTCTTACTTATCTCTACCCACATTCAAGTGCATTATTATTCACTCTATTTCACTTTCTACAAACACATCATAGCAATTTTAAAATATCATAGCAATTTTATGATATAATTATATCCATGTAATTTGAGCTTTAGAATAATAGATGAAAATGTTTAACATAATTTTTTGCTTGACATTTTAATATGTAATTCTTTTAGCACCATGAATACAATACCTAATGATGCAAGCATATCTGCTAAATCTTCTTTGTCAATAAATCCATCTCTGTTTTGGTCAATCATGTTGAAAGCTTCTTTGAACTCCTGGATCTGAGCCTGATCAAACATAGCAAACACATTGGAAGTGGCCCTCTGGGCTCGCTTCTTTGTGGTTTTAGATTTTGTCTTCCTACTTGACATGTTGAATTTGCTTTAAAAAAAAAGTCTCATGAGTTTCACAAATGTTTAGTTGGCACTCAGTCACAAGTTCATCAAGGTACAAATAATAATCAACAGTCAACTGTCTTTAACATTACCCCCTTATACTTTAATGTATTTATTATACAAAGTGTATGCGTTAAAAGAAATGATTAAAAGTGTTGATGATAAAAGTTGTAACTGTCACTCAGTTAAATCAATTAAAACTCGACCCTACTTTCTTCGTTGTTAAATAGGGCTCTAAATCTTAAATTCCCTGTAATTACTTACATAAAATAGGTGACGTTCGGGAGCCTTACTGATGCTCAGACTGAGGGGATATGACTAACACAGAAGGATTGTTTATTTTATTCATTCCTAAAATTCCATACCTGACCTCACTTACAAAATCCGGAAATGATTTTAAAACGAATATTGTTTTCATGAAAAATATATTACATAAATCCAACTTTTTTTAAAGTTGAAAAAAATCTCTAGTTGCTAAAACATAAGCGAATAAATAAGTTTTCTATACTTACTTAGTGGAGGCGAAAGAAAAACCGGAAAAGTTTTTTTTTAATCAGGAAGTCTAAATTTTTTGCGCATGCGTGGTTTTTCATCGTGCGTTCGATGCCCCAACTGTGGATTTATACTCAGTGCAGTTCCATTTCATTTAAGTTATGTCCACTGAGTCAAAATTTAAAACGATATACCTCTGTTTATTTTTCCAAAAGCTTTTCAATAGTTTTAACTTAAATTAATAGAATCTTTATCCGAACAGAGTCAGTCCGAAAAGTATTGTACCAATAGAATCAAACAGACCGCAAATTATTTTTTTCTTATGGCTCACCTTGCACCTGAGCTGAAAGCTTAAGTTTCTGTTCACATTTTGTCCGGCGTACTTCTGCCTAACTGTCCGACTGGTTGTAAATTTTAAACATTTTGTACTTCTTTAGAACAACTGGACCAATTTTAACCAAACTTGTCATAAAGAATCTTCAGGTGGAGCCACGCCCTCTTTCAAGGGGGATATACGCGGCAATTGGTGAAAATATGGTGACTTGTTTCATAAATTCTTTTTCTCAAGAACCACTTGGACAGAAAAAGATGAAATATAAATGAAAGTGTAGATTTAAGTTTGCTCAAATAATGGTCCCAGGGATAGGAAGGGGCCACAATTGGGGGTCATTATATATATATATATATATATATATATATATATATATATATATATATATATATATATATATATATATATATATATATATATATAGGAAAACTTCTGATAAAGAACAATTAACAGAGCCACGATTAATCATATTAATTTGCAAGCATCCTTAGCTAGTAGAGAATTAAGTTTGTTCAGAGTATAACCCTTTGTGTAGGGTGGGACCACAATGAAGAATTTAAGGTTTAAAATGGGAATGTAGGATATTTTTTAAAATCTGATGACCAACAACAGAGTTATGACTAGTCATGAAAATACGCAAACATCCTCGGGTACATATACACACACTGCTCAACGCGTTATCGGCTATTCGGTTGTTATCGGGCATTTGGTGGATAACAACTTTTGACAGGTTAATAAATTGTTGCAAATAAACAGTGTAATAATAGAAACAGAGAATGTTGATTGTGCTTTTTGTGAACAAGAATGAATACAGATACAAAATAAAGCCCCAATATGTCTTATTATAGTATTTGTGAGTCTTGGGAAGACTTATATTTATCTAACATTAGTTATTGTCCACAATGTGACATCGTCAGAATCTCGCAAAGATGCAATTAAAGAGTAAAAATTCCCGTTTTTTAACTTTAGGATGTTATCGGAAATACGGTTGAATGGTTCACTTTGTTATCGGAAATTTCGGTTTTTGTTATCGGAAACAGAGGTTGTCATAGGTTAGGAAAATGTGAAGAAACAACAGAAAACTTCATTAAATCTAAATATTTAAAATGGCAGGCACACAATTCGAATTTTTGGCTATCATTTGTCTCTTTTTTGAATACTTAACTTAAAAAAAGAGTGTTTTTGTTATTTCTCATGATCACTGAAATGTATATGATCTTGACCTGTTCGAAAATATGATATAAGTTTTAAAACCTCTGAATTATAAATCTCTTTTGTAACCAAAATACAGATTCCAGATTTAATTGTTGCGATTCTTAAATTGCATTATTCGCAATATAAAAGACTCGTAATAATTGTTGAATTCACAGTAATTTATTCTTAGTTTTCTGTGATTGCCTTTCACAGTTACGCACTGTTCTTCGCTTTTGTCTCTGTTTTGCTTGCTTCGTCTTCATTCGTTGACTTTGCATTTTTGATTTACCCTTAACCGCCTTTTGTTAGTACTAAGTTCATACATGTTTTAGTTCGGTATCAAGCAATTAAAGAATCTAAACTCAAGGGTGATTTAATGAATTTCCCAAAAGGGTGTTAAGCCAAATATGACCTAGAATTCTAACTTTTGAGGGGGAAAAAAAGAAATTGACTTTACTAGTTTTCAAAAAGCGTTACTGAAGGAAGGGAATTATGAAGATAACGAACAGTAATAAAGCTCAAAAGTCTATTGAAACAATATAAATTTGGAACAGAGAAAATACGGACCTCTAAAAACATCAGAGGTTGGTTTAGTGGCCAAGAAGGAATAAACACCCCCTGTCGATCGGTCACACCCACAGTGTGCTCTGTATCATTATCGGCCAAATGAAAAACCCGTAGATAATTCAATGTGTAGATGGAGCTCATGCCTGGAGCTTGTGAAGGGGGGTGGGGCGTCGGAGAGGTTCGAACCTCACCTGGAATTTGCAGAGTTATTGAATTTTTATACTCAAGCAAATAAAAAAAAACCTTGGCATCTCCCCCCCCCCCTTCATTGAAAACGCGGATCACTGTTTGTAGAAAAAGTTAAACATATGAAGAAGTGAAGTGAATGGACCAGTCCCCCCCCCCCCCCCCCCCCGGAGTATTTTTCACGTTTGGGAAATTTAACGTTTTTTTTTTTAATTTAATTTATAAAGAAATATTTCTTTGCGATATGCACCTCATTCTACTTCCTCTAGCTATTTTAAACCTTAAAATCAAATGGTATGACATAAACAATGTTATTGCTCTATATTGGACATAAAAACATTTAGCCTTCTGGGCTCATTTGGGCACTTGAAGTTGACGATGTTTTTCAAAAATGACGTACTAGTATTAGATAGGAAGACGTGACTAACTAAAGCAACCATAGATTTGTTATATATATGTCATATATATATATATTGTTTAATGGAGAACAGAAAAATGATTGAACAGATAGGGAGTTAAATTATAAAATCATAATTATAATAATTATTCTTATTTATATACATGTACGAGTATCAAAACAAAATAACAATGGAAAGCTGGAAAATTTATAAAAAAAAAAATTACTTAAGGTAGTCCGATCCTCGGCAGTTATGTAATTGAAAATTCTCACAAATATATCTCTGAATGCACAAATTAATGTATATTTACCCACTGTATTTCTTCAAAGTTAATCAGTATAGTTTATCATGTTACATAGGGAAAATAATCAAATCTCCAATATATTCAGAAGACGAATAGAAACATCAACTATGCATTTTCTAATTGAAAACTGATCAACAAATATATTTTAAGTTAAAAAATAATAGGTATCCAGGCATTTAGGCTAATTTGCATGTTTGTTTTTTTTTTAAATACTTTTTTACATGTATAGGTCTTCTATTTTCTTCCAAAATTTAAATAATACATAGTGTAAAAAGCTTGTGCTATCATTGCAAGACATCACAAATCACTTCCAATTTCATATTATGCTAAAAAGCATTGGTGTTTAAGGTTAAACTCAAGAAAATCCTATTCATCTAAAACTGTATTTATTTTTTACTTGTATAAGGAACAAATGTCAACTTTTTACAAGACCCTTTCTAAGACTTCAAAAATCTCAATGCATATTAAGATGCATAAAATGGAAATTGTTGCATGAATAGTTTTCAATTTCAAGCTTCATGTTGAGATTTTTTAAATTAAATAATAATTTTAAGAGTTATCCTTCATGGCTGAGGATTGCATATCCTTAAAACACATTACGTCTGCTATTTTCAAGGATTGACGGATCATAAATTACTTTTTTTCCCAATCTATTTCTAAAGCTGAAAGAAACTTTTTAACCTGAGTTTCCGATAACGTACACCCGTAAAAACCGAATTATCCGGCAACATCAACCTTGTTGACGATAACATGTTTTAACCTAACGAGACATTTTAGATGCCTGTTAACTAACCCTTCATTTGGATTTTTGATCTCAGTCTGCTTATCTACAGGTATATGACTGTCCATAGAATAAATAAACCGTTTTGTTTCATAGAATAATCTGATTTTGACTTCTACAAAAGCTAAAATGTGATGAAATATTCCGAAATTTTAATAAAATATCATTTGAAAAAGCTGTATATCTTCAGAAAGAGAGTGATTTGGTTTGTTCTTTTTGCTGCTGAAAGTATAATCATTTATCTGCCTAAGATCACAAACTTTATTTGCTGAAGTACGCAATTATCGTTGAATTAAGAAATTTAAAATCACCTATGTTTTCTATACTTTGCTTTCCTTGCACCGAATGCTCGATAACAACCGAATAGCCGATAACGCGTTGAGCAGTGTGGAAATAGCCATATATTTTATTTTGCTGTCATAAGGGTGTTAAAAGAAACTCATTCTCATTTATAAAAAACAGATGATTATTTTCCTTCAAAACATTAATAATATTTCTATAATAGGTTTTATTCATTTGTTCATTTATTTATTTAAAAAAATCGACTAGAAAATGAACGAATTGATGAAATCCGTTTTTATCAGGATATTATTAATTGTAAAAACCGCATAATAGCATGGCGGACAATCTCGTTTCTTTTATAAAATGAAATTAGAAATCTATTTATTTTTATTTTTACGCACAAAATGTCACAAAAGTCAATAGAGGATACTATAACAGATGTTGTGAAAGAGATATTGGTAATATATTACGTTACGGTAACATGTCATTTCTTTGTTTTGTAGTAAATTTGTTTGCAATTTTTGAATTGATGCACAGTCCGGGAAAGATGGCAAGATTACTTTATCTTTTAAGGATTAGAAACTAGAAAGACAGGTTGTAAATCATGGTTTTATTTGAAACATGATTTTCAATGAAGGAATAGTTTGAACAACTGCAACTTTTCAATCTGTAGCTTACTAAATGTGGAAAACCACAGGAGTCGGCAATTTCAGTGAAATAAATGAGAAAAATGTATAAAGCCTACCATTGAGCTTTGCGAGCAAAGCTTCACTTGTGAAGGTCACTGGTAGGGTTAATGCCCGCTTCTCATTTCTTTTCACTTTATTGATAAAATTGTCAACTCCTTTGGGAAAACTTAATAAAACCAATATTATAACCAATATGCTTACCCAAAATGGGATAAAATTGCTCATTTGGGTTATATTATCCCAAATGAATTTACAATGTAAAAAATAAATTAAAAACAAATAGATATTGTGAATTCACTTTAAAACACAAATAAAGTTTAAGTAACAGTGCTTACTGGGGATCAATCTCACAAACTGGAGGGTTACTTACAGGTTGCTTGTCAAAAGTTGTTACATTTAACATGTATTTAAAAGTTAAATAATTTTTCTTGACTTTTAAATCACAAATGGGTTATTATATGCCATTAGGGGCAATTGGTGACAGTCTGTTAAAAATGAAACTTGAGCACCCTGAGAAATTCACCAGTATTTGATTTGAGTTTTGAAAAAAAAATGAATGTTTATGATGCTTGTTTTTTAGCGTGGTGAGGCTGTAGAGGAGGCCTTTTGCTCTGTGATTTTACACACGGAGGAATCAGCGCAATGGAAGAAAGATCACTGCTTCAACAGCCTCAAAACAGCCCTGGCCAGCCTACCTCAGGTAAAAAACATATCTGAACTTAAAATAAAAAAAAACAACCCTGGCCAGCCTACCTCAGATAAAAAACATATCTGAACTTGAAATAAGTCTTTAATAAATATGTAAAAACTATTAGTTAATCTACAAATGGTATGTTGGATTCATGCAGATTTAGTAGATGGAGTGAAATTAAAAATAAGCAACATCTATTCAAAATTTTAAAGGTGAAGTATCAAAAAAGACCATTTTATTTTTTAGGAATTCAAAAAGATATTTGAAAAAAAAATGCCAGCAAGAAATTTTAATTCTTGCATATGTTTCAACATTTATCATACAGGAAAGCCTAGACACAGCTTTGAAATGTTACATCACACAGATTTATAGCATTCAAAATGCCAGTAGGGTAGACCTGTTGCTCGATCTCCTAGAGGCCTTGGTGGAGAACAACATTGTCCCTGCTAAGTAGGTCATCTTCAATGAAGAATTAGGTCAACTCTTGAACAACAACCAAAAAATGGAGTTTGGTTTTAAGAAATTTCAATTGGCTTTTAATTTGTTTGTTTAAATTGATTTTGAAGGTTGGATACATAAATACTATTCGAGCAACAAATTTTCAGTGTAAAACTTGAATATTAGTTGTCAGTTAAAACATTTCTCAGTGGTAAGAGTAATATTGATGCAGTGCTGATTATGTTTTGTTTAGGCCAATATGTGATGCTCTATTAGAGCATGAGCTCCTGCAGTACAAGGCCAGTCTTATGTGGACCAAAACATTCCAGTTAATGAGGAAAATTATTGGTGGAGTAGACTACAAAGTGAGAACTGACAAGTCAAACTTCAGATTGAATAAAAGATTTTTTTTTTCAAGTCAAATAATTTTTATATAAATGTTGGTTTTTAATGGAACTGATAACTTGTGTTTGGTGGTTATAGGGATGTAGAGATTTGCTGCGTGGAATCTTGGAGAAATGTCAGGGAGTGAAGCAGGATGAAAATGTGTCAGTTATGCCTGACATTGATACAGCTGTAAATGTAGGTATCTATGTGTCATACAAAAGCTATAGAACTTTGAGTACAACATGACAAATTTAACTGCTTTGTTAATTTGTTTACTTTAGTTAGTGGCCCACATTCTTGATCGTAATGTGTGTCTGTTACCAGCCTATCTTGCAGTCAATGAAATCAACAAGGTTTGTCCTGAGGACAAAAAGTGGCCTCACTGGGTAAGAAATCAGAATAGTGACATCTTAAACATCTGATGCTCTAAGAAAGAATGTTTTCTTCATATTCAGTTAATTCATAAAGTTGATATACATTTATTTTTATGTTTTTAAAGAATTAAAATATTGATTCTGTTTTGCTGTATACAACTGTTTGTAAAATATTGATTTTGTTTTGCCGTACATTTACGGTGTATATGTGAAATGAATGTTGCTTGTAGAAGATGGGGTCTATCCTGGCTGATTTTGTACATAGCTTTGTTACTTGTAGAAGATGGGGTCTATCCTGAGCTGATTTTGTATGTAGCTTGTTACTTGTAGAAGATGGGGTCTATCCTGGCTGATTTTGTACATAGCTTTGTTATTTGTAGAAGATGGGGTCTGTCCAGGCTGATTTTGTACATAGCTTTGTTACTTGTAGAAGATGGGGGGGGGGGTCTGTTGGGGTCTATCCTGGCTGATTTTGTACATAGCTTTGTTACTTTTAGAAGATGGGGTCTGTTGGGGTCTATCCTGGCTGATTTTGTACAAAGCTTTGTTA